GAAAGTTGTATTGCGTTGATCTTTTAAGGTTTTAGTTGTTAGTGCAATTGATTAGTTTCCGCTTCGCTTTTGATATGTAAAGTGGAACATTTGATGTATATTTGAGATTTCTCTTGTGATTTATTTGATGTGACAGCCCCACCTTCCCCTAAGGCGAACCAAAGGGGTTAGCGGACTGCCTGCCCAGCTCTCGCCAGGACTAACGATGCAGTTAGAGCGATCTATTGCGTTCCGGAACTTACAAACGCGCGTAAACAAGTCAAAATGGCAAAATAACCCAAAATAAAAAAAATGAAATCCGGAGTCGGCCATGAATAGTAACCGACCCGTCAGAACCCAACCAAATACCAAGCCAACGTTCACATCTTGAACTTTAGTATTTACAATCCAAAGTTGCATACAAAAGTATTCAAAAGTGGATACATGTATGGTTTGCCAAATCAAAAGAGAAATAGACCCAAAAGTACATTTAGGGTTTCAATAAATGAGCTATACAAAAGATATGTCCAACTAGCTCATTTCGGCAACCAATTATCAATTGCAGTCCAAAAGTAGTTATTTTCCTGTAAGGAAAACAAAAGGAATAGAGTGAGCTAATTGCCCAGTGAGAGTACTACCCAAGCAACAAAGTTCACATAGGCATAAAGCTTTTCATTTCAATTCATCAAAAGTAAGCCAAGGCACACGTCAATATTGAGGATAAAAGGATACGGGTGGCTCTCAAGAGCCCTTTTCCTCGTTTGCATTCTTGATCGGATCTCATTGACTCTCCGTCAATGTTCAAAAGTAACCAACCGTAGACTCCACTTTACTTCCATTCCATCCACCTAACATCCCCCTACCGGGCCCCGAACTCCAAACACTTGCACTGTGGTATTACTCGAGTATACCGGAATCGAGAGTCTCTCTTACTACAAGATTCCATATAACATTTTCCCCAAGGATCATTAATTGGCACGACCAAACCCTCGCCGGCTCGATTCAATCAACTACCAATGGGGTTGAGCTCAAAGATAACGATTGTAGTCGTTGGATACTCGTCCAATCGACACCAAATCAAGTACTTTCATTTCATGTAACATTTCATGTAACATTCCAATAACAAGAGAAACAATAAGTGAGAGTGATAAAGTACGCTCGCACTTCAATCAATTAACATTCAACTCATCAAGTTCAAGTATCAAAGCTATATAGTAACACATAAGTGAGTAGTACACTCACCAAGCTTCCAAATGGTGTTTCATGCACTACCGTCAAAAGAACGTCGTGAACCACCGTCACGCCCTAAAACATGCAAACAAGTACAATGAGACTCAATAACGAGTCATAAACCAATGCCAAATACGACCCCAATAGGGTTCCATAAAAATATACAAGCATTAGGGAAAACCAGAAAATCCGGAAATGCAACTAGTTGTAACCCTGAAAAAAACAGTTTTCGACCTCATTTTACGGTAATGGCACTAAAGACACTACGATTATCGGATGAAGGTACAAGATCCACCGTTTCGAAGCTAAAGGCGTGGCGTAAGGAGTGGCTTGTAGTGTTTATTCATGGATTATCTCATGTGTGGCTTGAACTTGGATTTCCTTTTGTGTGATCATTCATATTGGGATTGTATTGAACGTTTAGAATTGATTGGTTGTGTAATAGTCTAGTTTTGGACTTCCTCCTGTATAATAGTTGGTATCAAGGATCAGAGTGGCGCAGTGGAAGCGTGGACGCTTCGCTTTTGATATGTAAAGTTTTGGGATATTTGATTTTTATTTGAGATTGTATCTTGTATTTAATTGAGGACTGTAGTGAACGACTGAGTCCCGGCGAGAGCCGGGCAGGCGGCCCGCCGAACCCTCTGGTTCGCCTTAGGGGGAGGTGGGGCCGTGACAGTGGTATCAGAGCTTAGGCTTCAGATCTCTGTAGTGTATCCTAGGCTTGAAGTTTAGGATGCCGGACTGTGGGTTTGATTTGACTCTTGAGAGATTTTTGCGGGATGTCTTGACTTGATTGGTACAAGAGGGAATGTCGAGGACGACATTCTTTTAAGGAGGGGAGATTGTGACGCCCCGAAAAAAATGAGTTTGAGAACCCGGAAATTTTCTAATTTTCTAGGGTTTATTTTATTTAATCGCCCGCCTTTTCTTCATTTTCTTTATTAGAAAAATTCCCCAGATAAAGTTTATGAGCAAAAATAGTTTTAAAATGATTTTTCTAGTATCGGTTAGTTTTTGAGAAATTAAAAGCGTATTTTGGACGTGGGACCCGCAAGTGCGGTAAACGCAATATATTTTTGACAACTTGTTGGATTTTTGTATTAAGTGATATTATTGTACAATGTGTTACCTTTACTAATTGATTAAAAACTTGACCCAAAATTCATCTTCTTCATAAGCTCCTTGGCCGAACCTCTTGGAGACAAAAAGAGAGAAAAGCTTCCAATTTCTTCCTTCTATTTCTTGCCCAATCTCACAAACCAACCGTTAAAACCGTGATTTGCTCCATAAAAACCTTTCTCTTGGTGGTATTAAGGTGTGTGGTGAAGTGGTTTGAGAAGAAAAGGTGCTAAGTTGGGTCTTTCCTTGGGTTTGCATGGTAAGTGACTAAGGAACCTTTCCTTTGATCTTGATAATGTTCAATTAGTGATTGGTGGTGGTTGAATAAGTGATTTTATGGATGATTTCATGATTTTGGTTGAAATTAGTGAAGTTTTATATTTAATTAGGATTTTTCTGTTCTCATATGATTGTTATTATGTGGTTATGTATGATGATTGGAAATGATGTTTAATGATTCTAGAAGGTGGAAAAAGTGGAAGATTGCAAGTAAATTCTGTTTTGGAATAAATCTGGAAAATTAGGGTTCTTGGTTCTTCATTCTGTCCGAAATTTTTGGTCCTAGATAGAGGCCGAATTGGCCTTGGCTCAAAACATGAAAGTTGTAGGTATTGATGTTTTAAGGGTGCCTGTAAAATTTCGGGTCAATTGGAGTAGTGTAGAATGAGATAAGCCGAAATTACTATTGCTGTTCTGGGTTCATCAGGATGTTAGAACTGCGTCTGAAATGGGTTGTTTTGACTGGAATTGTTTTGGATTTGGGTGTTGAGGTCTTCTGATGAAATGTAGCTTGATGTCCTAGCTACCATATGCCTTTGGAATTTCTGCATTTGGACCTGTTTAGACTGAGTTGTACTGATTACAGCATAGTGTAATTTGTAAACCTGCAATTACGGTTCTGGTTTGGTATTTGGCATATATGACTTAGTTGTGCTGGGATTTGGACTGAGTGACCTTCTACATTGTTGTATCCCTGGTTCTTAGCTTCGAAATGGTGGGTCTTACACCTTCATCCGACAATCGTAGCGCCTTTGGTGCCATTATCGCAAAATGACGTCAAAACTATTTTTCTGGTTTTGAGCTTAATTTTCATTTCCGGACTTTTCCCTAGCTTGACTTGTACTAGTACTACTTGGAGCTTTCTGAATGTTTATTGGATGAACTTGTTGTTGTGTGTGTACCTTTGGGTTGGAATGAGGAAATAATGAAGCCATGATGGCTGGAAAAGTAAGCAAATTCAGGGGAAGTGCTGTCCGAACTTTGAAAGGACTTGATTGCATTGAGTGTATGATGGATGATTGCTGAGCCATTGAGGTGAGTGACCTCAAACTATTTCTAAAATTATTTATGAACCGTTTCTTGCATTATTTACTTTTGAACTGTTTCCAAATTTAATTTTGGAACTGTTTTCTTACATATCATGCGTGCTTGCATATCAGTGTCTTGTTATTATTGATTTTGCTTTCAATGATTGTTAAAACGAGTTTTCTAGGCGAGTGTGTACTTTATCGCACTCGACCTAAATAAATATGAAATTTTCAATGATTAATGATTAAATGCTACTTGCGCATGAATGTAAGCGTTTTGGGTTGAACTGGCCATTGCCCCTTGTTACCGGTCGTCTCGAGCCAGAAGCGGACTCGGTCGGGCGACTAGGAACTTGGGTGAACGTTTCGGTATACTCGAGTATTACCTTGTAGGTTGGTGGAGCCTGGCCAAAAGCCAGGGACGGGGTGAATGAATGCACGAATGAAACCAAAAATGCAATGAAATGACAGGAGAACGAACGTATCCTTTTCATGAATGTTACTATCGCTTTCCATTGTAAATGTTTCTTGAATTATTGATACTCCATATTGAAATGACATCATTGAAATGAACTATTGTTAAACAGATTTGATTACTGATTTTACTGGTTACTCGCTGAGCTTCTAACTCACCCCAAAAATGTTTTATTCCCCTCCACAGGGCTCAAGGCGAAGGAGTGGCTTGTAGTGTTTATTCATGGATTATCTCATGTGTGGCTTGAACTTGGATTTCCTTTTGTGTGATCATTCATATTGGGATTGTATTGAACGTTTAGAATTGATTGGGTGTGTAATAGTCTAGTTTTGGACTTCCTCCTGTATAATAGTTGGTATCAAGGATCAGAGTGGCGCAGTGGAAGCGTGGACGCTTCGCTTTTGATATGTAAAGTTTTGGGATATTTGATTTTTATTTGAGATTGTATCTTGTATTTAATTGAGGACTGTAGCTGCAAGAAAGTCGATGATCATTTGATGGATTTAAGAAAGTTGTTTGAAAGGTTGCGAAAGTACAATTTGAAGTTAAATCCTGCAAAGTGCACCTTTGGAGCACCAGCTGGTAAATTGTTAGGCTTCATTGTCAGCAAGAAGGGCATAGAGATAGACCCGGTAAAGATCAAGGCAATTCGAGACATGCCAGTGCCGAAAACGCAGAAAGATGTGAAAAGTTTCTTAGGGAAGATTAATTTCATTGGAAGATTTATTGCCCAACTAACTGCGACGTGTGAGCCACTATTCAAGTTGTTAAAAAAGAATCTGTCGTTGCATTGGAATGAGGAGTGCCAACAAGCTTTTGACAAGATTAAAGATTATTTGCTGCAGCCTCCGGTCCTAGTGCCACCCAAACCGGGCCGGCCTTTGATCATGTACTTATCTGTGCTCGACGGAGCAGTAGGGTGTGTTCTAGGTCAGCACGACGACTCGGGAAGGAAAGAGCAAGCCATCTACTATCTTAGCAAGAAATTCACGCAGTATGAGGCTAATTATTCGTTTATTGAGAAAAGCTGCTGTGCTTTGGCATGGGCAGCTCAAAAGTTAAGGCACTACCTGCTAAGTCATACTACCTATCTCATCTCCCGCTCCGACCCTCTGAAATACCTCTTGGAGAAACCGATGCCAACTGGACGTCTTGCTAAATGGCAGATGATTCTTTCAGAGTTTGATATTGTTTTCACTTCGCAAAAGGCTATCAAGGGACAAGCTATAGCCGATCATTTGGCAGAAAATCCAAAGGACGATGACTATCAACCGCTCCATACCTATTTCCCTGATGAAAAGGTTTTATTTGTTGGTACCGTGGAAGATATGAGCGAGCGGTGCCTTGAATGGAGATTGTTTTTCGATGGTGCAGCTAATTCTTTTGGAGTCGGAATAGGAGCAGTTCTTGTATCCCCGGAAGGGAAGCATTACCCTGGAGCTACTAAATTGCAATTTGCCTGCACAAATAATATGGCCGAGTATGAAGCATGTATTTTTGGTCTTAAAATGGCTTTGGAAATGGAAGTTAAGGAGTTAATAGCCTTCAGTGATTCAGATTTACTCGTGCACCAAACATTGAAGCAATGGATAACCAAAGATTCAAAAATCTTGCCATACCACTGTAATTTGCTCAATTTGGCTCAACAATTTCAAAGTTTGGAATTCAGACATCTCCCACGAGCCCGAAATGCATTTGCAGATGCCTTGGCCACCTTATCTTCTATGATACAATATCCAGACGAATTAGGAATCGAGCCTATCCAAATTCAACTCCAAGACAAGCCTGCTCATTGTTGGGTAGTAGACAAGACATCTGACAAAAGCCCTTGGTACAATGATATTAAGGAATTCATCAAAATCGGGTCTTACCCTCCAGAAGCTAGTGCAAATGACAAGGGTTTCCTGCGCAGAATGGCCTCGAAGTTTTTCTTAAATGGAGAGGTATTATACAAAAGGACCTCAGATTTGAACCTCTTACGGTGCATCGATGAAGATGAAGCTCAATACATGATGAAAGAGGTGCATAGCGGTGTCTGCGGACCTCACATGAATGGACATTTGTTGGCAAAGAAAATCATGAGAACCGGGTATTTTTGGCTTACAATGGAACGCGATTGCATAGATTTTGTCCGAAGATGTATTAAATGTCAAGTGCATGGCGACATCATACGCGCTCCTCCCACCGAGTTGCACAGTATGATTGCTCCATGGCCCTGCTCGATGTGGGGTATGGATGTGATTGGCACAATTGACCCTCCTGCTTCAAATGGGTATCGATTTATATTGGTGGCAATTGAGTACTTCACCAAATGGGTCGAAGCGGAATCATTCAAGCACGTGATGTGACGACCCCACTTTCCCCTAAGGCGAACCAGAGGGTTGGCGGGCCGTCTGCCTAGCTCTCGTCAGGACTCACACAAGCAATCTAGCCCAAATCCTTCCGAAGAATAAACTAAATCCTCATTAACTTCAAAGATAACAACATTTATAAGATAGCCAATCGACGGCTCTTAAACACTTCGCGCGTCACTTACAAGGATTAAAGCCATACCACACAAATACGTACATACAAGCTAGATACCAGACTTAGGGTTACACTTTTCCAGCTTCAAGTGACAATCCAAAATGAAAGATACAATGCTTAACTTGGAATTCAATACAAACCGAAATTTAAATTCAAGTTGTTCAATTACATTCATAGGAAATATAAGCAGCTCAAATTCTTTCAAACTTCACAACCTGTAAGGAAAACAAACGAACGTGGGGTGAGCTAAAGCTCAGTGGTGCCCCAAAACATGCAATCAAATAAACAAATAGCAAGTATTGATTTTGATTAACGTAGACAAATAGGAAAGCGAATAACAGCACAAGGTAGGATACAGAGGCTCTCAGGAGCCATTTTCCTCGCTTGATCACCATTCATCGTAGTTGACCCTCCGTCAACTCTCACTACTTATAGTCCATGTAGATCCTCCCATTTTTACTCCTAACCCGTCACCGTACGTACCCCTATCCCGGGCCCGAACACCAACTAAGGAAGCAGTATACTCGAGATATACCCTTATAAAATTGGGAGCAGTATACTTGAGTATACCCTCAGGAAATTGGTCGAGGGATTCACCCAGCGACATTTCCATAGTTGGATTCAGAAGTCGAGAGATTCACCCAACGACGCAACTACATTTTGATTCACGGATTCAGGAGAAAAATGTTTCACGCAAGTCACCACTCGAACGGCTAGTGCGATAAAGTACGCACTGCTCACTTCGATGGATCTAAACTAGTTTTGCAATTTATCACATATTGAGTCAAGAAAGCACTTTAATCAGGTAAGCATAGAACAGGCAGGGACACTCACCAAGAGTGAAGTTACTGATCAAGTTGGGAATCAAAGTCTGCGTCCTCACTAAACCCTAAAATACCAAATTTTAAAACTACAAGTTGGCTATACTAGTTCTAGGATTATGTAGGAAAATTATTTGCAGTATAACTAGTTTATTTGTTTGTAATAAGTCACAAACCATGTAGTAGTAAAACTAGTAAAATACTTTGTAAAGTTTCTGTAATATCCCTTTTCTTGTAAAAGTGTTACAAAAACTAGTTTTTACGTGAAATAATGTTTCTTGCCGAACAAGTTTTCTACGCTTTTAGCTAAAGTCACTAAAATCTCATATTTTAGAAATTTCCTCTAGAAAACTAGTCAAGGACAAATTTTTAACGAAAGAAAGGGAATTAAAGCGAGACTTGAGTTTTTGAACCAGGTGAAATCATTTCCTAAAAGTAGTAAGGCTAATTTAAGCTTAAGTAGAAAACGTCGAGTCGGCAAGGTTTAGAAAATCCTCACACCAGAATTTCTAACTTAAACGTACAATACTAAGTTTTATCGATTAATGCTAAGCACAAAAGTTTTTAAATAGATTGCTTAAGCCTTCGCGAATTCGCAGGGTTGAAACGAATTCACAAATTCGATCCCATTTCGAAATCACATTATGGTTCAAATTTGCCAGCAAATCAAAATCACATTTTAATAGAAAATCCCTAGGGCTTCGTCAATCGTTAGCCCTGGGTTTTCAATAGATTCACTTCTGATCAAAATGGAATAAATGACCAAGGCTTCGACAATCATTAGCTCTTGGTTTTGGCAAGTTCATATCACCTCACAGTTGAAGCGAAATAAATATAAAGGCTTCACGTAATTCTAGCAATTAATTTCATCACCCTTTAACACTTGTATAAAATCATTCAAATGGCCAAGGGCTTCATCAATCATTAGCCCTTAACATCCAACAATTAGTTCTTATAGCAATAAAGCTAATATTTTAAATGTTTGGAATTACTAACAGGTATATGAACCTAAGGCAAGATTGGTAACAATATTTTGTCCAAAATCTCAACAAAATCTCATTACACATAATCAAATGCAGATTAAACATTTCACCATAGTTATTTTCCAAAATTTTCCATTCCAATACCGATCACTTTATCACAATATTACAGTCATAATAAAATCAAATTGTCACTCCAAAATACACAAGTAAGACTCTCTTAATATAGTTTCAAGTGAAATCAATGAACATAAGATATTTTACAGCTCAAAACAGCATTTTTAGAACTAAAATTCGCCACAAGAAATCTGGAGAATTCCTTTACTACTTCTATCAATTCACTTGGAAAATTTCCAGGTCTTAGGGGGAGGTGGGGTCGTCACAGTTGGTATCAGAGCTTAGGCTTCAAATCTCTGTAGTGTATCGTAGGCTTGAAATTTAGGATGCCGGACTGTGGGTTTGGTTTGAAATATTAGTGATTCTTGCGGGATGTCTTGATTTGATTGGTATAAGATGGAATGTCGAGAACGACATTCTTTTAAGGAGGGGAGATTGTGACGCCCCGAAAAGTATAAGTGTGAGAACCCGAAAATTTTTTAATTTTCTAGGGTTTATTTTTTAAACGCCTTCCTTTTCTACATTTTCTTGATTAGAAAATTTCCCCAGATAAAGTTTATGAGCAAAAATAGTTTTAAAATGATTTTTCTAGTATTGGTTAGTTTTTGAGTAATTAAAAACGTATTTTGAACGTGGGACCCGCAAGTGCGGTAAATGCATTATATTTTTGACAACTTGTTGGAATTTTGTATTAAGTGATATTATTTTACAAAGTGTCAAGAAATTTGTATTGGAGAGACAAAAGGATAGAGTTGCATTACAAAGGGTGACAAGTGTCACTTTCCTATTCAACCTTGACTTTGACCATTATTTCCTACCTTTACTAATACTCAATTTTGACCCAAAAATCACCCAAATTTCTGCAAGCTTGGCCGAACCTCTTGGAGCAAAAATACAAGAAGAAAGCCTTCAACTCCAACTCCATTTCTTGCTCAATCTTGTGAATCAACCGTTAAACTTTCGAATTCCACCACAAAAGTCACTTGTTTAGGAAGATTGAAGGTAGTGGTGGAGTGATTAGAGAAGGCAAAGGACTAAGCCATCAACTTTCTTGATATTTCAAGGTTCATGTCTAGCAATCCTTTCTTTGTTCTTGATTATGCTAAATTAGTGACTTGTGATGGCTAAAGAGATGGTTTGATGGATTATATTTTGAGTTGTGGTTGAATGGATGAACTTTTATTATTTTTGGGGATTTTTCTGTTTTAATATGAGTATGATTATGTGGTTATGTATGATGATTGGAAATGATGTTTAATGATTCTAGAAGGTGGAAAAAGTGGAAGATTGCAAGTAAATTCTGTTTTGGAAGAAATCTGGAAAATTAGGGTTCTTGGTTCTTCATTCTGTCCGAAATTTTTGGTCCTAGATAGAGGCCGAATTGGCCTTAGCTAAAAACATGAAAGTTGTAGGGAATGATATTTTAGAGGTGCCTACAAAATTTCAGGTCAATCGGAGTAGCGTAGAGTGAGAAAAGTTGAAATTACTATTGCTGTTCTGGTTTTACCCGAAATTGGGATTTGCGACTGTAATTGGTTGTTTTGGCTGGAATTGCTTCCGAATTGGTTGTTAGGCCTTCTGATGAAATTTATCCCTGTTTCTTATCTTTCATCTGGTTTTGGAATTTCTGGATTTGGACTTGGAGAGCCTGAGTTATGATGTTTCCGCTAGAATGCGTTCTGTGAATCTGTTTTTGTGATTCTGGTGTAGTATCTTGCATTTTTGACCTGGTTACACTCGAAACTGGGTTGAGTGACCTTCTTAATATTGTAACCCTATCTCTTAGCTTCGAAACGGTGGGTCTTGTACCTTCATCCGACCATCGTAGTGCCTTTGGTACCATTACCGCAAAATGACGTCAAAACTGTTTTTCTGGTTTTGAGCTTAACTTTCATTTCCGGACTTTTCCCTAGCTTGACTTGTCTTTGTACTACTTGGAGTTTGCTGAATGGCTATTGGATGAACTTGTTGTTGTGTGTGTACCTTTGGGTTGGAATGAGGAAATCATGAAGCCATGACGGCTGGAAAAGTAAGCAAATTTAGGGGAAGTGCTGTCCGAACTTTTAAAGGATTTGTTTGCATTGAGTTTGTGATCTAAGACTTGGGTTTGAGCAAGGCAATGATACATGATGGATGATTTCTGAGCCATTGAGGTGAGTGACCTCAAACTATTTCTAAAGTTATTTATGAACCGTTTTCTGCATTATTTACTTTTAAACTGTTTCCAAAGTTACTTTTGAATTGTTTTCTTGCATATCATGCGTGCTTACATGTGAGTGTTCCTTGTTTGCTATATTTCCTTGACTTATTGGCTTGTTATTATTGATTGATAATGTGTTAAGTGCTTTCAATGATTGTTAAAACAAGTTTTCTAGGCGAGTGTGTACTTTATCGCACTCGACCTAAATAAATATGAAATTTTCAATGGTTAATGATTAAATGCTAGTTGCGCATGAATGTAAGCCGTTTGGCTGAATTGGGCCCTGCCCTTCGTTACCGATCGACTCGAGCCAGAAGCGGACTCGTCGGGCGATATGGTGACCCTGGGTGAATTTGGTATACTCGAGTATTACCTTGTAGTCCGGCTACGTCCGGATGGGTGGAGTCCGGCTACGTCCGGATGGGTGGAGACCGGCCAACGTCCGGAAAAAAAAAAAGATGAACGAATAAAAAGATGAACGAGGGATTATTTATAAAAAATGAACGTATCCTTTTCATGAATGTTACTATCGCTTTCCATTGTACATGTTTCTTGAATTATTGATACTCCATATTTAATGTTTTGTAAATGTTGTAATCATTTCTGGACTTATCATTTGATTTATGACATCATTGAAAAGAAATATTGTTAAACCGATTTGATTACTGATTTTCTGGTTACTCGCTGAGCTTCTAGCTCACCCCAAAAATATTTTATTCCCCTCCACAGGGCTCAAGGCGAAGGCAGGACTTGTTGTGCTTATTCACGTGAATGGATGGCCTTTATGTTGTACAATTTGGATTTGGAATCATTTTATGTATAGTTGGGAATTTTTCCGCTGCATTTGTGACATGTAATTATTGGAGACTTGGATGTATATTTGTGGACCATGTGATGTATATTTGAGGTTTATTCTTGTAATTCATTTGAGGACTTTAGTGAACGACTGAGTCCCGGCGAGAGCCGGGCAGGCGGCCCGCCGAACCCTCTGGTTCGCCTTAGGGGGAGGTGGGGACGTCACAGTTGGTATCACAGCTTAGGCTTCAGATCTCTGTAGTGTATCGTAGGCTTGAAGTTTAGGATGCCGGACTGTGGGTTTGGTTTGAAATATTAGTGATTCTTGCGGGATGTCTTGATTTGATTGGTATAAGATGGAATGTCGAGGACGACATTCTTTTAAGGAGGGGAAATTGTGACGCCCCGAAAAGTATAAGTGTGAGAACCCGAAAATTTTCTAATTTTCTAGGGTTTATTTTTTAAACGCCTTCCTTTTCTACATTTTCTTGATTAGAAAATTTCCCCAGATAAAGTTTATGAGCAAAAATAGTTTTAAAATGATTTTTCTAGTATTGGTTAGTTTTTGAGTAATTAAAAACGTATTTTGAACGTGGGACCCGCAAGTGCGGTAAATGCATTATATTTTTGACAACTTGTTGGAATTTTGTATTAAGTGATATTATTTTACAAAGTGTCAAGATATTTGTATTGGAGAGACAAAAGGATAGAGTTGCATTACAAAGGGTGACAAGTGTCACTTTCCTATTCAACCTTGACTTTGACCATTATTTCCTACCTTTACTAATACTCAATTTTGACCCAAAAATCACCCAAATTTCTGTAAGCTTGGCCGAACCTCTTGGAGCAAAAATACAAGAAGAAAGCCTTCAACTCCAACTCCATTTCTTGCTCAATCTTGTGAATCAACCGTTAAACTTTCGAATTCCTCCACAAAAGTCACTTGTTTAGGAAGATTGAAGGTAGTGGTGGAGTGATTAGAGAAGGCAAAGGACTAAGTCATCACCTTTCTTGATATTTGAAAGTATCATGTCCAGCCATCCTTTCTTTGTTCTTGATTATGCTAAATTAGAGACTTGTGATGGCTAAAGAGATGGTTTGATGGATTATATCTTGAGTTGTGGTTGAATTGATGAACTTTTATTATTTTTGGGGATTTTTTCTGTTTTAATATGAGTATGATTATGTGGTTATGTATGATGATTGTAAATGATGTTTAATGATTCTAGAAGGTGGAAAAGTGGAAGATTGCAAGTAAATTCTGTTTTGGAAGAAATCTGGAAAATTAGGGTTCTTGGTTCTTCATTCTGTCCGAAATTTTTGGTCGCTAGATAGAGGCCGAATTGGCCTTAGCTAAAAATATGAAAGTTGTAGGGAATGATATTTTGAGGTGCCTACAAAATTTCAGGTCAATCGGAGTAGCGTAGAGTGAGAAAAGTTGAAATTACTATTGCTGTTCTGGTTTTACCCGAAATTGGGATTTGCGACTGTAATTGGTTGTTTTGGCTAGAATTGCTTCCGAATTGGTTGTTGAGGTCTTCTGATGAAATTTAACCCTGTTTCTTATATTTCAGCTGGTTTTGGAATTTCTGGATTTGGACTTGGAGAGCCTGAGTTATGATGTTTCCGCTGGAATGCGTTCTGTGAATCTATTTTTGTGATTCTGGTATAGTATCTTGCATTTTTGACCTGGTTACACTCGAAACTGGGTTGAGTGACCTTCTGTAATATTGTAACCCTATATCTTAGCTTCGAAACGGTGGGTCTTGTACCTTCATCCGACCATCGTAGTGCCTTTGGTACCATTACCGCAAAATGACGTCAAAACTGTTTTTTTCTGGTTTTGAGCTTAACTTTCATTTCCGGAATTTTCCCTAGCTTGATTTGTCTTTGTACTACTTGGAGTTTGCTGAATGGCTATTGGATGAACTTGTTGTTGTGTGTGTACCTTTGGGTTGGAATGAGGAAATCATGAAGCCATGACGGCTGGAAAAGTAAGCAAATTTAGGGGAAGTGCTGTCCGAACTTTTAAAGGATTTGTTTGCATTGAGTTTGTGATCTAAGACTTGGGTTTGAGCAAGGCAATGATACATGATGGATGATTTCTAAGCCATTGAGGTGAGTGACCTCAAACTATTTCTAAAGTTATTTATGAACCGTTTTCTGCATTATTTACTTTTAAACTGTTTCCAAAGTTACTTTTGAATTGTTTTGTTGCATATCATGCGTGCTTACATGTGAGTGTTCCTTTTTTGCTATATTTCCTTGACTTATTGGCTTGTTGTTATTGATTGATAATGTGTTAAGTGCTTTCAATGATTGTTAAAACAAGTTTTCTAGGCGAGTGTGTACTTTATCGCACTCGACCTAAATAAATATGAAATTTTCAATGGTTAATGATTAAATGCTAGTTGCGCATGAATGTAAGCCGTTTGGCTGAATTGGGCCCTGCCCTTCGTTACCGATCGACTCGAGCCAGAAGCGGACTCTGTCGGGCGATATGGTGACCCTGGGTGAATTTGGTATACTCGAGTATTACCTTGTAGTCCGGCTAAGTCCGGATGGGTGGAGTCCGGCTACGTCCGGATGGGTGGAGACCGGCCAACGTCCGGAAAAAAAAAAAGATGAACGAATAAAAAGATGAACGAGGGATTATTTATAAAAAAATGAACGTATCATTTTCATGAATGTTACTATCGCTTTCCATTGTACATGTTTCTTGAATTATTGATACTCCATATTTAATGTTTTGTAAATGCTGTCATCGTTTCTGGACTTATCATTTGATTTATGACATCATTGAAAAGAAATATTGTTAAACCGATTTGATTACTGATTTTCTGGTTACTCGCTGACCTTCTAGCTCACCACAAAAATATTTTATTCCCCTCCACAGGGCTCAAGGCGAAGGTAGGACTTGTTGTGCTTATTCACGTGAATGGATGGCCTTTATGTTGTACAATTTGGATTTGGAATCATTTTATGTATAGTTGGGAATTGTTTCCGCTGCATTTGTGACATGTAATTATTGGAGACTTGGATGTATATTTGTGGACCATGTGATGTATATTTGAGGTTTATTCTTGTAATTCATTTGAGGACTTTAGTGAACGACTGAGTCCCGGCGAGAGCCGGGCAGGCGGCCCGCCGAACCCTCTGGTTCGCCTTAGTGGGAGGTGGGGTCGTCACAGTTGGTATCAGAGTTTAGGCTTCAGATCTCTGTAGTGTATCCTAGGCTTGAAGTTTAGGATGCCGGACTGTGGGTTTGGTTTGAAATATTTGTGATTCTTGCGGGATGTCTTGATTTGATTGGTATAAGATGGAATGTCGAGGACGACATTCTTTTAAGGAGGGGAGATTGTGACGCCCCGAAAAGTATAAGTGTGAGAACCCGAAAATTTTCTAATTTTCTAGGGTTTATTTTTTAAACACCCGCCTTTTCTACATTTTCTTGATTAGAAAATTTCCCCAGATAAAGTTTATGAGCAAAAATAGTTTTAAAATGATTTTTCTAGTATTGGTTAGTTTTTGAGTAATTAAAAACGTATTTTGAACGTGGGACCCGCAAGTGAGGTAAATGCATTATATTTTTGACAACTTGTTGGAATTTTGTATTAAGTGATATTATTTTACAAAGTGTCAAGATATTTGTATTGGAGAGACAAAAGGATAGAGTTGCATTACAAAGGGTGACAAGTGTCACTTTCCTATTCAACCTTGACTTTGACCATTATTTCCTACCTTTACTAATACTCAATTTTGACCCAAAAATCACCCAAATTTCTGCAAGCTTGGCCGAACCTCTTGGAGCAAAAATACAAGAAGAAAGCCTTCAACTCCAACTCCATTTCTTGCTCAATCTTGTGAATCAACCGTTAAACTTTCGAATTCCTCCACAAAAGTCACTTGTTTAGGAAAAATTGAAGGTAGTGGTGGAGTGATTAGAGAAGGCAAAGGACTAAGTCATCACCTTTCTTGATATTTGAAGGTATCATGTCTAGCCATCCTTTCTTTGTTCTTGATTATGCTAAATTAGAGACTTGTTGATACGAACGGCACCAACCATGTGATGCAACCCGTACAAAAGACTTGGATCTAGAAGGCAGGGACTCACGTTGAAGACGACGAACGCAGCGGATCACCTAAACCCGTTGATCACGTGGTCAACGAACCTCGGTATTGTAGAAGACGCCACAATCTAGCGCGGTCCTAGATTGATAAGTCAATTGAATACCTAAGATACAAATCTAAGATATTCAAGGTGCTTCAATGAAGCTTGAGAGAACTCTCAATGTAATTTTTATTAATCGTCAAAAACTCCATGTAAACAACGACTTAAGGCTATTTGTAGCCGTAACTAAAAACCTAACAAAGCTTGTAAACAGTTGAAGGAAAGCGCGGCCCACACTTGGTCTTCCCTTTGGGCCGCCACTAGCCCAAAAGCGAGGCCCCCGTAACAGCTCAGCGTAGGGACTACAAAGGTGGCCCACATGGCCTATCCTATGGCCAAATTTATTCCTAGCAAATAAAATAGAAAAGTAGAAAATAAACTACTAACTATTACTAAAGATTCAATCTCTTGCAGCCTAAAACATGGCCCATAAGCGGCCCATATTTCGTGTCATTCCCCTCCTCTTGAAAAAAAGATTTGTCCTCAAATCGTGTTTGGAAATGAATGGTTTTGCAAGAGTTGGCCGTATGACTCCTCAAATCTCCACATGTTGGCTCTCTTAGAATGAAGGATACTTGCATACGTCATGATTATTGTAATTCGGTGCACATGTCTCTTGGTCAGCTTGAAAATGCTCACAATCCACCATGGGAAACTCAATGCTTTACTCCAACCACTCCAACGCTCTTTAGTCAGCCTTGTGCCCTGAATGGTCGAATTTGGACCTACACGATTAGCATTTGTAGGTATAAATTCACTTGACAGCTTACCATTCACATTCACAAGATAAGGATCTTCATAGTGATGCTCAATCCCTCTAAGTGGGGGTAGTCCACTTGGAATCTCGTCTGGGAAAACGTCCTCAAATTCCTGCAACAAAGAAGAAATTTCAGGAGGTAAGTCAATGAGTGTCTCATGGGAAAGTAAAATCACCTCTTTACAATATAACATATAGACAACTTGCTTAGACAAAAGTAACTTACGAACTTCCCTGTTCTTGGCAAGCAAGTTGGGCCGTTTCTCCATTCGACCAGATGTTCCAGGGATAGATGTTCTCTCGACTGGTGCCTTAGTGTTTGCTTTATAATCGGTTGACTTCTTGGACAACTCTCGTTCATGCTCTTGTTGCAATCGCAATTGGTCTTCGTGCACCTGTTGAGGTGTGAGAGGGACAAGCGTCATCTTCTTGTTGTGGTGCAAGAATGAGTATTTGTTGGTAAAGCCATCATGAGTAGTCTTCTTGTCATATTGCCATGGCCGTCCTAACAAAATGTGAGAAGCCTGCATTGGAACGACGTCGCAAAGGACCTCGTCCTCATACTTCCCAATTCGAAAAGGCACTACCACCTGCTTGGTGACCTTGATATCGCCACTCTCATTGAGCCATTGCAAGCGGTATGGGCTAGGGTGCCTTAATGTGGGCAAGGAAAGATGATCCACCATGAGAGTGCTTGCCACATTTGTACAACTACCTGCGTCGATGATGAGGCTACATACTCTATCCTTGACATGACATCTTGTGTAGAAAATGTTATCACGTTGGGCTTCATCCACCTTCTTGACTTGGGTTGCAAGAGCCCGACGGGCTACTAGAGCAACACCCACTTGCTCGGTAGTGGCCTCAACCTCCTCCTCAAAATCTTCACCTTCATCAGTCAATGGAGGCATCTCGGCGAATTCATCCTCATCGTCCGATACGACATCTCCGCTTGGTAGGACAATCATGGTACGCCTATTAGGACATTGAGAAGCAATGTGCCCAAATCCTTGGCATTTGAAGCATTTGTCGCGGCTTCGTGGCTTGGACGAGTCGAATGAAGGCCTTGGAGTTGCCTTTGGGGCTGGCTGGGGTGGTTCGGTCTTAGGAGTAAACTTGGACACCCCTGGACTAGGCCGTTCCCGCTCGAAAGTCGGGTTGCCTCTCCACGCAGGCGTTGCCGAGAAGCGAGTGTTACCCCTCCTCTCAAGCCTCCTCTCGATCTTGGATGCCTTATCAATTAGCTCAGGCATGTCCACGTAGTTTTGCAACTCCACCAATTCGGCGATCTCAGGTGTTAAGCCGTTGAGAAATCTTGCCATGGTAGCCTCTCTATCCTCCACAATATCAGCTCGGAGCATGGTGATCTCCATCTCCTTATAGTAGTCCTCCACAGTTCGGCTTCCTTGGACCAATGTCTGGAGCCGCTGATACAGATCACGATAGTAATGGCTGGGTACAAACCGTTTCCTCATAGTGGTTCGTAACTCCTCCCATGTACTAATTTGTCGTTCTCTATTGCGGCGCCTGCTAGTGCGCTCCTGCTCCCACCAGACAATAGCGCAATCGGTAAATTCGAGGGTTGCCAGTTTGACTTTTTGATCATCGGTGTAGTCCTGGCACTCGAATACCATCTCGATTCGCTGTTCCCACTCTAGGTAAGCCTCCGGACTAGACTTGCCTTGGAATGCGGGAATCTTGATCTTGACTCCTTTTAATCCGTCATCGGTCCTCCGGTAGTCCTGCTTAGGCCGACGGATGAAGTCATCTTCCTCGCTATTGGAAGCGAACTCCTCACGAGGTGGTACATCTCGATGAGCTGCGTTGGACCGAGCTTGAGAAAGCTCTAAGCGGTCCATCCGTTGGTGTAGTGATGCCATAGATTCCCTAAGCATGTGTTGGAATTCTCCCATCATTGTTTCATTGTGTAGCTTGGAGCCTAGTTTGGATGCATCACTCTCCTCCGACATGATGTAGTATACCTGCAAAAGGTTAGTAGCAAACAAGTAGGGAACTGTCGTCCTCACTCACTCCCTCGCGTGTTTGCGCTCTACACTCGTGTATGTCACTCAAGAGCACTCTAATAATCTCACCAATGTTCTCAAACCCTCTTGATAGCTTACCTTGAAAAAATTAGAAGTCCTCCAAGCAAACAATCAACTTCCAATTTTGGAGCACTAGAGGGTGGCAATCCTCAATGGAATAGAGAATAATGGAATGATTGACTCGAGGGACAATGAAATGGCACGACTCAAATGAAAGGACACAAAGAAGACTAAGGCACGGATAGAAATGAAGGAAAGACAAGACCCAAAAATAAAAGGAACAACTCTCTTTCTTTTTTTTTTTTAGAAACACAATCTGCCTTGCTTGTTTAGTAGGTTCGGATGTGCAACTAAGGGAAGAAATGATGGCGATTAACTCCCTATAATGTAGGAAGGATGGCCGACTAGAAAGGGTAAGGGAAAGGTTAAGGCAACCCCTAAAAGTAGGAATAAGTAGTGGCAAAAATGTAGGGGAAAGAAATCCCTAAAAAGTAGGAATAAGTAGTGGCGAAAATGTAGGGGAAAGAAATCCCTAAAAATAGGGTAAGGGTGGCGGCTGGAATGGACAATCAACAAGGTGACACTAACAACCCTTCTTAGGCTCCCCCCAACGGGTTACCCAAGATTCTCCCAAGAAATTAACTCCAAAGCCACGCCACCCTTTTACTACCACAAAGGAGTGCAAATAATTTTAATTTTTTTTTTTGGATTAAGAATCCGGACCACTATGTAACACTTCAAATGGTTGGCAATAAATCTGGCCGAACAAGTGTTTTGCTTGTTTTTTTTTTTTTTTGTTTTCACTTGTGTATGGCCGACAAAAGGCAAGCCAAATCAGATTTCATGCAAGTCAGCTTCAGCTAAAGGAATCAAAACAGGTAACGCACTTGCCAATTCACACCAACTACCAATTCGGGTATGGCAGCAAAAATTTTTTTTTTTTTTACATTGCTGGGTAGTGGACACGACTCAAACTCACAACTGCTAACAACGTAGACCACAACTAACAACAAAAAAGGGAGGACGTAACCTGGACAGGCTAACTCACGGCACTTCAATTGGTTGGCAATAAAATTTCTGGAATTTGGCTTGGCCGACACAATTATGTTGCTTGCTGTTTTTTTTTTTTTTTTTAAACAACAAAGTGAGATAATGGATGGCTATAGTTTTTCTTCTCTTGAGGCTTGGCTGGCCGCAATTGATTGTGTATGGCCAGCAAAGGGTAGCAAATCAGATTCCATGCATGACAAAGTAAAACCTGTCGGACTGCATGCACTACTAAGGAAAACCCAATAAGATTTCATGCACTTGCCAAATTACACCAATTACCCTTTGGAATTGTTTCCAAACTCACGACTATCAAGATGGTTTCACTTCCTAATCAATGGTGCATACCCAAAACAGCTCACAGCTCACGGACGGCAAGGAAAAACAAATTCTGGACAGCCCACAAGTCACGAATGGCAAGGATACAAAATCTGGACAGCAAGGGAAAACAACGGTGTGGCAGCCGTTCTTGTTCTCTTCTCGTTCTTTTCTGTTTTTTTTTTTTTTTTTTTGACTCAAAGCTCTAAACCCTAATGACTCTCACGGACACACCACAAGTTGTGGCAGCCGCCCACACACAACATGCACGCTGGACAGATCCGGATGCAAGACAACCAAACGATAGACAAAAACAGAATTTTCAACTCATGACTAAGAGGAAGCAATTGCGGACTGCCTCAACAGATTGTGGCTATTTTTGGATAGCAATTGTGACCCTCAAACTCGACAACAACTTCACACTTGATGCGGACAGATTCAAAACCAAAAGGGCAGACTTAGATACGACACAAAGACGAGACAACGACACAAACAATGGAGCAACAAAACAGAAATTTCAACTCGAACACAAGACAAAACAAATGCGACAAAGCTTGGACAGATTAGAAACACGTGAACAGAATTTTTTTTTTTCGACTCCCAATGAGACAAAACCGATGCGGACAGATTGAAGACTCAAAGACAAGAACAGAAACGACTCCAAACGAAAAAGGAAAACAACGACACAAATAAGAGAAACAAGGGATATACGTGATACCTTCAACTAGCTCTGATGCCAGCTAATACGAACGGCACCAACCATGTGATGCAACCCGTACAAAAGACTTGGATCTAGAAGGCAGGGACTCACGTTGAAGACGACGAACGCAGCGGATCACCTAAACCCGTTGATCACGTGGTCAACGAACCTCGGTATTGTAGAAGACGCCACAATCTAGCGCGGTCCTAGATTGATAAGTCAATTGAATACCTAAGATACAAATCTAAGATATTCAAGGTGCTTCAATGAAGCTTGAGAGAACTCTCAATGTAATTTTTATTAATCGTCAAAAACTCCATGTAAACAACGACTTAAGGCTATTTGTAGCCGTAACTAAAAACCTAACAAAGCTTGTAAACAGTTGAAGGAAAGCGCGGCCCACACTTGGGCTTCCCTTTGGGCCGCCACTAGCCCAAAAGCGAGGCCCCCTTAACAGCTCAGCGTAGGGACAACAAAGGTGGCCCACATGGCCTATCCTATGGCCAAATTTATTCCTAGCAAATAAAATAGAAAAGTAGAAAATAAACTACTAACTATTACAAAAAGATTCAATCTCTTGCAGCCTAAAACATGGCCCATAAGCGGCCCATATTTCGTGTCACTTGTGATGGCTAAAGAGATGGTTTGATGGATTATATCTTGAGTTGTGGTTGAATTGATGAACTTTTATTATTTTTGGGGATTTTTTCTGTTTTAATATGAGTATGATTATGTGGTTATGTATGATGATTGGAAATGATGTTTAATGATTCTAGAAGGTGGAAAAAGTGGAAGATTGCAAGTAAATTCTGTTTTGGAAGAAATCTGGAAAATTAGGGTTCTTGGTTCTTCATTCTGTCCGAAATTTTTGGTCATATATAGAGGCCGAATTGGCCTTAGCTCAAAACATTAAAGTTGTAGGGAATGATATTTTAGAGGTGCCTACAAAATTTCAGGTCAATCGGAGTAGCGTAGAGTGAGAAAAGTTGAAATTACTATTGCTGTTCTGGTTTTACCCGAAATTGGGATTTGCGACTGTAATTGGTTGTTTTGGCTAGAATTGCTTCCGAATTGGTTGTTGAGGTCTTCTGATGAAATTTATCCCTGTTTCTTATCTTTCAGATGGTTTTGGAATTTCTAGATTTGGACATGGAGAGCATGAGTTATGATGTTTCCACTAGAATGCGTTCTGTGAATCTATTTTTGTGATTCTGGTGTAGTATCTTGCATTTTTGACCTGGTTACACTCGAAACTGGGTTGAGTGACCTTCTGTAATATTGTATCCCTATCTCTTAGCTTCGAAAAGGTGGGTCTTGTACATTCATCCGACCATCGTAGTGCCTTTGGTACCATTACCGCAAAATGACGTCAAAACTGTTTTTTCTGGTTTTGAGCTTAACTTTCATTTCCGGACATTTCCCTAGCTTGACTTGTCTTTGTACTACTTGGATTTTGCTGAATGGCTATTGGATGAACTTGTTGTTGTGTGTGTACCTTTGGGTTGGAATGAGGAAATCATGAAGCCATGACGGCTGGAAAAGTAAGCAAATTTAGAGGAAGTGCTGTCCGAACTTTTAAAGGATTTGTTTGCATTGAGTTTGTGATCTAAGAGTTGGGTTTGAGCAAGGCAATGATACATGATGGATGATTTGTAAGCCATTGAGGTGAGTGACCTCAAACTATTTCTAAAGTTATTTATGAACCGTTTTCTGCATTATTTACTTTTAAACTGTTTCCAAAGTTACTTTTGAACTGTTTTCTTGCATATCATGCGTGCTTACATGTGAGTGTTCCTTGTTTGCTATATTTCCTTGACTTATTGGCTTGTTGTTATTGATTGATAATGTGTTAAGTGCTTTCAATGATTGTTAAAACAAGTTTTCTAGGCGAGTGTGTACTTTATCGCACTCGACCTAAATAAATATGAAATTTTCAATGATTAATGATTAAATGCTAGTTGCGCATGAATGTAAGCCGTTTGGCTGAATTGGGCCCTGCCCTTCGTTACCGATCGACTCGAGCCAGAAGCGGACTCGGTCGGGCGATATGGTGACCCTGGGTGAATTTGGTATACTCGAGTATTACCTTGTAGTCCGGCTACGTCCGGATGGGTGGAGACCGGCCAACGTCCGAAAAAAAAAGGATGAACGAATAAAAAGATGAACGAGGGATTATTTATAAAAAATTGAACGTATCCTTTTCATGAATGTTACTATCGCTTTCCATTGTACATGTTTCTTGAATTATTGATACTCCATATTTAATGTTTTGTAAATGCTGTAATCGTTTCTGGACTTATCATTTGATTTATGACATCATTGAAAAGAAATATTGTTAAACCGATTTGATTACTGATTTTCTGGTTACTCGCTGAGCTTCTAGCTCACCCCAAAAATATTTTATTCCCCTCCACAGGGCTCAAGGCGAAGGCAGGACTTGTTGTGCTTATTCACGTGAATGGATGGCCTTTATGTTGTACAATTTGGATTTGGAATCATTTTGTGTATAGTTGGGAATTGTTTCCGCTGCATTTGTGACATGTAATTATTGGAGACTTGGATGTATATTTGTGGACCATGTGATGTATGTTTGAGGTTTATTCTTGTAATTCATTTGAGGACTTTAGTGAACGACTGAGTCCCGGCGAGAGCTGGGCAGGCGGCCCGCCGAACCCTCTGGTTCGCCTTAGGGGGAGGTGGGGTCGTCACAGTTGGTATCAGAGCTTAGGCTTCAGATCTCTGTAGTATATCCTAGGGTTGAAGTTTAGGATGCCGGACTGTCGGTTTGGTTTGAAATATTAGTGATTCTTGCGGGATGTCTTGATTTGATTGGTATAAGATGGAATGTCGAGGACGACAT